TACTGCATGCACTCAATGTCTCTTCCCTGCTAAACGCTTGACACTGATTACTGCTTGAGACCTGCTGAGCTTGCTTGCCTGAATATGCGCCGCCAAACAGCAAGCATAGAAATTTCTTTTCTTGGGATTGACAGAAGTAATGCCTTCAGTCAAGACGCGCGACTGCTAGCCTGTTCGTAAACAGAATCAATATCGTGAATAAATACTTTCTTTGTGCTTGCTTGCAGGGCAGCACGGTTGCCTTCTCTTTGAATGGCCAGAGCCAGGGTGCTGCTTACAAGGACATCCCTGAGGGCACCTACTACCCTGCTGCCTCACTGTACACTTTGCCGGAGCAGACAGAGGGGGTCACTGTGGCATTCAACTTTGGTCCAAACTTTGCGTACGCACCCCCTCAGGTGTGTGTGTGTGTGTGTGTGTGTGTGTGTGTGTGTGTGTGTGTGTGTGTGTGTGTGTGTGTGTGTGTGTGTGTGTGTGTGTGTGTGTGTGTGTGTGTGTATGCATCGCGGGGGGGGGGGGGGGGGGGGGGTGTTAAGCAAGTTTGTGAAGACTCTAGGTGCAGAGCGTGTGCCCTTTCTTTGGTGCATGATTGCAGCGTGTAGCACCTGCTGAAAGGTCCTGATTCCGTCATGCTGGAGCAAATTGTGTTCAATGCACTTCTTTTGACCCCAGCGACAACTTCCCTCAAAGCCACCATTCGACTTTCAACCGCTCCATCTTTACCTAATTTCCCATGCTAATTCTTTACTGCCTGAATTGAAAGTCCTTGCCTCCCTTATATTTTGTTAACAAGATGCCGTCGTTGCTTTTTTGGCTCCTGCGCACTCGGACCATCGGAGTGCTGCATCTGATGATTGCTGCAGTTGAGATCAGACGTTTGTGCTGCATGACAGGCTGGCAGGCCCAGCTGCCACACAGAATGTTGGCATACGCCTACAAGTGAGCATTGAGAAGCCAGTGACACGTGCGGCCTTTGCTGGCATTGTTTTTGCTTGCAGATTGATGGCTGCCCTGCTGCGCGCGCCTGGTGTGAGCTGGCAGCTCCTCAAGAGCAACCACCTGCCTCGGCAGCACCATCTTAGGACCCAAACAGCTGCAGTGACCGTGTGACTTGTCTTGTACAACCGCTGCTGCTATCATCACAAATTATGCAGGTATTGCATCAGACAGCCTCACCTCTTTCAATCAAATACGTAAACAGCTTCTCTATCCTGAAAGACATCTGAGGCATATCCAAGGAGACGTCCTTAAAATGATTTCAACGCTCACTAGAGACTTCCATACCAAGATTCGAATTTACAAAGTGAAGTCCCATGCAGGCATCGCTGGAAATGAACGTGCAGATGCCATTGCAAAGCATCAGGCAAAGCAAGCCCAAAACTGTGTGGCAGACATTGAGATCCCCGGTGCAGGTCCTGGTGGAAATCCATTCACAAATATTTTCTGGTTAGCCAAGGAAGAAAGAGTACATGCTGCAGGCACATCTACGGATCCACCACCCACCCACAAGCTCACCTATCTCCCAAATCTTCAAGATGCTCTCAAATCCCACATGCATTCTAAACGCAAGCTTGGATATGCCAATGCCAAAACAGGTAACTACTCTTACAATCAAAACCTGTTACTGCAAGTAGATAAAAAATCAGCAATGCCTTCAGAAATATGCCCAACATCTCTGTACCCATGAAGCGTACCATCCTGCAGTACCGCACGGGCACCCTCTACAACCAAAAACACGCAGTACGTTCCAAAAAGTCAACTGATCCATTTTGCCCCTTCCCAGGCTGCCATCATTTGGACAGCGCACTACACGTGCTCTCAGGCTGCCAAAATTATACCATCTCCAACATAAGAACTGAACGCCATAACATTGCAGGCAGAATAATTACAAAAGCCCTCAGCAAATGCCCTGTAGGGGCAGGCCTGGTTTACACAGACATAGGGAGCTATTTTAAGCTTGCTCAACACAACCTCCAACTCCCTACACATGCCTCAAACAGATCTTTACCTGCTTACTTCTTCCCTCGTAACCTTCCAGAGAGGGAAGACTCAACTCCAGTCGACCAGATGCTGTTTTGATCACCCCTTTCAATGCCAATCATACTTCAAACGGTGTTTCTCCGATCCATTCCCATCACGCTTTGCGCAGCTCCTCACGGAGGACCATCAGAACTAGTCGCATGAGGCAACCCCACGAACTTGGAACAAATGAACGCCATGTGCACCTAATAGAAATCAAGTTCTGTGAAGACACAAGGCCAGAGCATCAGTTGAATGCAGCAAAGCAGCAACATGCAGACCTTTGTAAACTTATCAACGCTAAAGCTGTTACAATTCACCCTATTCTCCTGGGTGTAAGTGGAACTATTTACACTGAGCATACCCTGAAGCAATTCAAACATCTAGGTTTGGATCACCAGCGTGCCGCGAAGCTTGCTCAACATCTTCATGCCCATTCTATTCAATATGCCCACAAACTAGTCACCATCCGCCGCGCTATTGAAAGCAAGAATACTTCCCACAGCCAGGCTCTAGAGCCAGGTGCTTCTAGTAACCCTCCAGATCCACATTAGCATTCTCTTTTTCATACCTTGTGGTGAAGGGGGCACACGGCTCTTTTTGAGCCAATGTGTCTCCTTTTCCTTGATTGATGTAGGGAAAGTTTCTCTGCCTACGTAGTTTTCCTTTCTTGTCAGCTGGAGTACTTGAACCCAAAATTTATGCAATGCTTCGATTCAGGAATTGGGTTGGACTGTGTAAGAAAGCCGGCAAAACATTGCATGCCTATTCTGGGCTCGATTTGACAACATATTTGGGCACTTTCTCAACCTGATGAAAGGAACATGCTTGTACAGGTTCACATGTTCTCCAAAAAGAAGCCATTAGTCAAGGAACCTTCTATTTAGCTGGAATTGTAAGAGGATTGGAGCATAATGAAAGCTTGCATATTTGATTTGAAAGGGAGGCCCTTTGCTAGACTGCTTGGCTGGTCCACGCCGGCCAACACCCAATGTAGAAGATCAGATGTGGAAGGGAAATCTTGTGTTGCAAGGGCAAACCGACTGACTGCTTGCCTGCTCACATGGGAGAAGCAAAACATACAGGAAAGGATAGAGCTCATAGTTTATTCTTTTTGTTGTTCTTTAGGAAATTCACTCATTCCAGCGAATTTAAAAACCAGCAATTCCTTCTGGAGTATGAAAGCGATAACCCTAATAAACAGTCATCAAGTTTCGATCAGACACCCTTTACAGTATCAAGCATGCCAGACGATCCAGTGGCCACCCTCGGTCTGCTCTTTGCCCTCCATGTGGTTTTGGTGGCTGATAGCACCTCCCATACCCTACTCGGATACTCCTACTCATGAAATGATTGAGCGTAAATCGTCATCATCAAGCATCCAGGATTTGTGGTGAAACAAAATGGAGGCTTGGACCTTGCATCGTCACTGTGGATGCATCACAGAAACTTTTCTGAAAAGGCTATGCTCCCTGGAGATGAAAATTCCTGAGAGTCCCCAATGAGGCATTCCACGCTGGCTGTTCCCACCTGGAAAGCCACCAAATACACAAATCAATGGCCCTGATGGCATAAGGGTACCCATTGAAGGCAGAGGCTCCACCCATCACCCACAAGATGTGAATCCTAGAGACAGACGTATCCACCTCATCCAGCCGAAATGCTGCTCTGACACACGGTCTGAACAAACTCTCCTCACTGCACAAAATGTCACAAACACACTTGCGCGCAAAAAACCTCAGGGTTGCGCGCAAAAAACCTCAGGTTGAAGAGTGCTTTCCTTGAGCTCCTGAGCATGCAGCACTACTTCCTCCTTCACAGCTCACTAGCCTTGATGACATTAGAGTCCTACCCATCGAACGCAGAGACTCCACCCATCACCCACAAGGTGTGAATCCCAAAGACAGACGTATCCACCTCATCGAGCCGAAATTCTGCTCTGACACACAGTCTGAACAAACTCTCCTCACTGCACAAAATATCACAAACACACTATTGAGAACCTGCGCGCAATAAACCTCAGGGGCAGACACTGCAATAACGGAGCCACTCCAACACCCTATTCTTTAAGTTGCCGGAACTGTCCACAACTCACACACAGTTGATTTCCTCTGCAAACTTTGCCTAAGCCAAGATAAAGCCCACGGAACTGCAACAAAACTCCACTGTCATGCTGTCTATCAAGACCTTCAACAGAAATCAACGGCACCAAATATGCCATTCAATTTAGCAACCCAAGCAATGGAGGGTTGGGGGAGACTAAAGGACAAGTTGTGCCTTAGGAGAGTGAAGCGTGCAACTGGATGGATGGCTGGCAACCCACTAGACCCAAAAGTATAAGTTAATGTCTACGCAAGACAAAGCCAGCATTCATTAAGGAACGACCCAACAGCCCGCGTTGTTCACTAAGTTAGTCCCACTATTGGAGCCATGCAGTAGGAATGCTAGTGTGGCCGGACCCATACTAGCTTGGCTGCGCTGCTCCTAACGGAAGTGTGAACACCTGAGAGTAAGCCCGACAGTTCAGACCAGGAGGAAGAGGTGCACTCGCATCAACATATTGTTGGCCTTTCCACCGTGAGACCGACCCAATACGTCAGCATGGCCTCCTTGTTGTTATTACACATTTGTWATTGTTCAGAATAGGGACAATGTAGCCAGGCATCCGCTGCCTGGTCAGGCCTGGTCTAGATTGGCCTGGTCTAGCCTGGCCTGGTCAGGCCTGGTCTCGATTGGCCTGGTCTAGCCTGGCCTGGTCAGGAGCGTTTGCATGCAGCTGCGCAGGTCCAGGCTGGGAGCGCCCCACTGGGCACTCCCTTGGTGGTCTGCCCAAGTTAATTCTCCCGCCCAAAATGTCCGTCAGGAGCGTTTGCATGCAGCTGCGCAGGTCCAGGCTGGGAGCGCCCCACCGGGCACTCCCTTGGTGGTCTGCCCAAGTTAATTCTCCCGCCCAAAATGTCCGTGAGTCAGTGACAATTTCTTGACCGAACCAGGGGTCGAACCTGGAACCTCCTGTTCCGTAGACAGGTGCTCTGTCCATTGAGCTATACGGCCTTGACCTTAGGGACAAGTCCCTTGGCTATCTGCTGTGGGGCTTGCTTGTCAACCTGCACCTGCTAAGGTTTACGAATTTGCTCAGCAGAGCAAGCTACAAGGGCAGCACATGGTCCAAAAACCCACCTTGACCACCCAGGACTTCCTCGATGCCTGGTTCACATTTCAGCCAGTACTTCATCAACCAGGAAAACACATGAGGTCCCGAGGAAACGTAGCTCCGCACCACAATCCCGGCTTGGTCTCTTTTGAGCGCATCCTGTCCTGACACCCTATTCACAGAGGCCAGCCAGGAGGGAGCCTGCTGAACACAAGGGCCACAGCCTTTCTGAATAGCATGTTTGACACAGTTGCACAATTACCCTTGTATCGGTCTGTCACTCCCCACGCTCTACTCCTTATGCCTCCTTTTCCCCTTGTACAATGTGGGATAGCCATGTATACGATGCTGGTTTACATCATGGGGTGTAGGCAGATGGTCACAATGGGGAAGGATTTCAGGCCTGGCACTGGCTTTTAGGTTTACAATACACCAAACTGACCTTCGATGAATTTTCAACAATACCCCCTCTCCCAGTCATCTGATGGTGCAGGACACACTCATGTGACATCCAAAATAGGATATCTCGCTGAATAAATTCAGGTCTCATGAGCCTGTTGACCTCATTCCCACACCTTGGCAAGCAATGCTGATAGAAATTTGTCCTTCATGGTCACACGCAGATGATTCACCGTCCTTGATTGAGTGGCACTTTTCCCCAAACTTGTGATGAGGATTGTGATGAGGAAATACAAGGGACGAAATTACACATCAATAAAGTCTGCGCCCTAAAGGCAGGCCCAAGAAAGTTTGGTTGACAATGAAATACTGTGATTTCCCCTCGTATAAGATTTTGCACCGCCTGCAGGGTAGCATGTTGTCTTTCCTGTCCTTTTCTGTAATGTATAACTTTGTGGTAAATTTCCGAAAAAGGCTGGTTTTCCTGGGCATGGTGAGCACACAAACGGATGGGCTAGAATCATAGAGCTGGTTACCTTTCTCCCCAAAAACAGATATTTTTATAATGCTTCCGGCATGCGTACGTCCCAATTTTGGCACCACATGCCCACTCTGTTCAACATGCTTACAAACTAGTCACCACACGCCGCGCTAATGAAAACAAGAAAACTCCCCGCAGCGAGATTATAGAGCCAGGTGCTTCTCGTAACCCTCCAGATCCACATTACCTTTCTCTATTTCTTACCCTGTGGTGGAGGGGGCACACGGCTCTTTTTTGAGCCAATGTGTCTCCTTTTCCTTTATTGATGTAGGGAGAGCTTCTCTGTCTACGCAGTTTTTCTTTTCTTTTTCTTTTCTTTTCACCACCAAATCTCTGTTCAAAACCAATGACTGCACTAATCAGGTGATTTATCTGGTTTAAAGTTTTTTCTGTATGAAAAGATTGTCATTGGAAAGAGATTTAAGACAGTCCCTGTGATTGGCCAGAATCAGAACTTCAGCCAGAGTCTGTCCTATCCTCGAGAAATTGCTGCACAAGGTGCCAAAAGGGTCGATCCTTGACTCCTTCCTATCAGCTGCTTACATTACATTACGTTACATTATGTTGGCCTTCACTGAAGGCTTCAGCCATCTTGGCTGCTCGTCACTTATGGAAAATTGGAAAAAGAGTCAAAAAGACTTGAATAATAACGGTGCGTTTCCAAAGGGGCAATTAGCAATTAACCATCAATTTGAAAGTTGGATTAATTGCTTTTCACGTTTCCAATGGACAATTAATTGGTGAAGAAGGCAACAATATTGACATACGCAAAAACCGATGTTGGGCCTCAGCTGGACCCCCTCTACAAAAATTAAAGCTGTAAGCATAATGCCATATGTAGGGATTATGTAGGGATTACGAACGCACATAAAAAAATGAAAATAAGAAATAGTCCCAGTGTGAAGCTGTGGTTCCTCTGTATAAGGTGATTTGAGGCCAGGGGGAGAGTGTTTTGGGGATTCCTCTTTTTGGTGGACCTGTTATTCTGTGGAACAATAATAGCTGGCATGGTTAATTTGAACGAAAAGTTGGGGAAGAGCATATCTAATGATATCAGGGCACCTCTGCTAAAATTACCAGAAGGGGGCGACGGAGGTCTGAAACGGGGGCATTTTTCGAATATTCCTTGAGTATGTGGGCCAGAACTGGCAAGATTCAAGAGGTATATACCCTGTTTTCCTCTCTGCAGGGCTGGAGCTTGTCCGGCGCAGGTTGGGGCGCATATGCCTAATCAGCCGCAGCATGAACCCTAATTTTCACCACCAAAACTCACATAGCTGACCACCTACTGCAACAAATTGGTTGATTTGTGATGATTTGGAGTTCTTGTACCAAAAGAACATCTTTGCAAAAAAATGGAGTGAAAAGACTGAGCGATTGGTCAGATACAAAATTTCAGCCATTTCCCTTGGAGAGACCCTGGCACAGGACTCCCAAGGAGTAGCCAAAAATATCATTTTTTGACCTTCTTTTTTCCCACTTTTAGATATGCAGGATGTTAGATTCGTATCGAGAGCGTAAAAATGCAAAAGTTAATCAGGAGCATAAAAAAAAAAAAAGTAGTGGACGCCATCCCCAAAAACTGGGCGGGACCCCCCTGACCCACCCACCCACCCCAAGATCCCCCATGCAGTAACCCTATGCGGACAAAAAGGGTATCGATCTGCTCCTTTTTGAAATAGCTATCATCTGCATACTTATTATACTGGAAAAGTGAGTTGCAGCAGAGTAATGGGACAAAAACTCAGGTACGGTTGCCCATGCGTACCTGCCCTTCCAGGCACCCACAACTGGCTTGCAAGTCCACAAACTGCCCTCCTGACTTCACCATGCATAATCACATCATACATTGTCACTATCCTGGAAACTTGAACTGGTTTGCCGCATGTTCGCCTCTACACCCCCTGCCGCCCACACCCTTGCGCATATGGTGCTAACTCCCAGCCATGCACACAGGCCCCCCCTTTTACCCAATTTACCCAAAGAGGGTGCCAATAGACAGTTCTCGAGCTCAGAAATCCAATGGTGCCTTCAGAATTCTGCAGAAGTGGCCCAGAAAAATTCAGGGGTGTCCCAAAACCTGTACCCCCCCTTGACCACCCACCCCACCCCCCCCACCTCGGATCGGACTCATACATATATATATACCAATCGATAGCTCTTGATCCCAGGATTCCGAATATGTATTTTTTAAGAGGATTGCCCGATGACGTCCAAAAGTTATGCTTCTTGGAGGCTCCTGTGTTAATGCAAATTTTTGGTAACTTCTATTGACATTTTATTGGTTGGGCAGGTCAGATTTTGAAGATATTGGCGTGAAATAACATTTTCAGGAAATTTGGGCCTGTCGCCACCCTCTGTAAAGCTGCCAATGGGCACCTCCTTTGACACCTGGCAGCCTTCGTCTAACTTGCCTTTGATATTGCATATTTTTTTATCCCAACTTTGGTTAACTTCGCATGCTAAGCCTAACCTGAAGTTTCGCTTGCATGCACGCCCACTTGCCTGTCAGCAATTTGTAAAGTGTGGTATCTTCCAGAGGGTCCCAACTCGGGGGTCCAGTGTTAGCAAATTTTTTTGGATCTTCCCCAATTTGTTAACGTTACCCTCGTGTATGGATCAGTGATATAGGAGACACCATTGCAAAAATGCTTGGGTCAATTGGTGGTCTGGCTGGGCCAGGGTGGAATTCCAAAGGCTCCTGATATCCACTGCAAAACATGGGATCAATCTTCGACTTGGCATAGATCACCAGAGAACCCTGGTAGCAGGATGAAAAGTTTTCTGAATAAATGGGTTTTCCAACGCACTGCTATTCACCCTGCTACCAGGGTTCTGCGCAAAGTTATAAGCGTTCAGACTTTCACACATGAGTTGGGATATCTCCTCTGGATATCTACTTTTCATACTAGTTCTTTCAGGTGTAGCCCAGCAGTCATGCGTTTTGACCTATATTTCCTTCATGCAAACCTGTAAACCTGTTTATCCACATTTAAGCGAACCTTGGAGGTTTGAAATAGCAGCAGCATTCAGCACTTGTCCCCAAATAGTTAAATCAAAATGGCATGCACGACACAGCATGAAGCATAACCATTTGTTCCATACCAGACATGCTCTTAATGTTCAAGGGACTGCTGGGCGCACGGTGGAGGACAACAGGAGACGGAGAGTCTGGGCATCCAAGGGCATGGTGGACAACCCCCCAGATCCTCATCAGCTCTGTCTCTGACTCTCTCCTAGGCTAGCTGTGCCTAGTGTAGGTTTAGAGGTCCTTCTAGTGAGGCCACTGCTAGCTTACTAGCTTGTTAGTTAGGGGACCTTCTCTTAATGCATGCAGCCTCTGGCCTGCGTCGACTTATTTTCTTTTTTTATCCTTTCTGTTCATGAATGCTGTTACGAAGCTTATCTCCAGCCTCGAATCAATTGTTTTGTAATTTCAGAACCTGAGATCTATCAATTGTTCAATGTCAACTTTCTTTCTCTAATCACGAGAGCCTGCTGTAACAGAGCAATTTAAACCCAATCCTGATAGGAGTTGCTTAGAACCAAGAAACTCGTGTCTGATCAGACTTATCGATTTATCTGACCTCATGGATTTTTTCCAACGCACCGAGCAGCCAAACCACCTGGCTGAAGGTCATGTTCCCAAAGTAATGTAGTATAATGTAATGCTAGGATTGCCGGCACTACTTGGACCAATTTACACTTGAACCCTTCTGTGAACTTGGCTTACTTTGTGGAAATAGCCCTTAAACTTGCAACTAAACTCTATCGCAATACCATGAACAGCCTGACCAAAACATGAAGCACGAAATAACCCATGTAATTTAGAAATTTGAGCAATTGGCTGTTGGGGAGGGGGCGACAGGACAGGCTGCTTGCAGCAGGCAAAGGCGCAAACTGAGACTTCAGACGTGAATTTCGTAAACTATACATGGCCACATTCTCTCCAAAAAGCAC